TGGTATTTATAAGTTTATAAGTAAGAACGTAACCCTTGGGTACGGCTGTCCGCTTGCTTCGTGAGCCGCGTGATTGCCAGCTTGCCAGAGGGTATCGAGAAACTTGAATCCGAACCAGAAGGCCACAAACGAGCAAGCACGCCGTCTGAGACTGACCGTCTTGACCCCGAAATCTGGGACCCTACGAATGGATTAGCACTCATATAATTAATCAGGTTCCAGAAACAAATAGGTACAAAAAAAATTAAGACCATACTCACCACTCTCGTGGGTACTTTTGAACAGATAATATATTACGAAAATCAAATCACACAACAATCAAAACACTATTTAAGATTGGAAGACACGAGATAGCAGAGTGTCTCCCGTGGCTGAAAGCCGGACTTATATATCTTCCGTTCCCGAAGCTCCAGAAATTATCCCTACTCAACATTTTACTTTGACATTTAAATTATCGACGAGGTTAATACGAACAAAATCAAAAGTAAGTCGCTTTCTACCATAACAAAACATTCCCAATACCTATACAATTTGTCACGACAAATCAATAAACTGACTTATCCATAAACAAACGCCATCTAGTGGTAGCGGCGTGGTGACCGCTTAAACCACTACGCCATACATGATATATAGAATATAGTAATGATCTACTTATTAGGTGAGAGATTTATAATTTAGATGATAAACTTCATACTTAGGTTATAGGAAAAAATGGTCCGACTATAATTTAAGATACATATTTATATCAATATGATGATTCATATCTAGAAACCGTCTAGATTAATATACTAAGAAAATATTATAAATAAAAATCTTATCTTTCTATACTAACTAACAATATTATTAATTGGAAAAGGATGTTCCAAACCTGCCATGAAATTGTTATAAATTGACGATGGACGGATGGACGAGCGGTAAAGCCACAATCCACCCATTTGCAGTAGGTGATTTCGTCCTAACTTCGTCGTTTCGTGAACGACACTACAAAGTTAGGGTCTAAAGAAGGTCCTATGTTTAAATTTTTTAACTTTATTTTTAAATGTATTTTTTGCACAGTGGGCGTTACCTAAGAGAATCGCATTTTCAGGATGTCCATGGTTTGTGGTATGTTTGAACTTAAAATCGGAACATAGAATGTTACATAGCTTTATAAATATCGTAAGGATCGAACTACAACATGCTACTTTGTCAAGTTTTGACACAAACCCTTTTTTTACGTGTAGAAACCCCCTCGGGCCGTCACCCCACCGGGGTTTACGGCGGGGTGGTGTGTCAGAATTGGACCGATTAAAACCACACGGTGTGCAACTCTGCGCCTGTAATAGGAGGGATTCGGGAACTGCTGTTATAAGGTACAACTGTGTTGTGTGTTCAACATTCTGTGTTGAAGGCGCTTACAATGGGATGTCCTCAGGGATCGGTGCTAGGTCCATACTTGTGGAATATCGGCTTCGACGATTTTCTTGCGATACCAATACAATCCGGATGTAGGTACTCTGAACGCGTATGCTGATGACGGCTTATTACTGGTGGAATCTGATACTAGCCAATAGATGTTTGAACTTGATATCTCAATGGGGTGAACGTAATCGCTTAACTTTTGCACCCAACAAAACCTTCCAACTACTTTTAAAAGATAACCTCAAATCACCGACGAGCATTAGATTTGACAATGTTACTGTAAAAAATAAAACCTCAGTGTGTTATCCTGGGATTAGTTTTAGAAAGAAACTTTTCATTTATTTATTTAACTTTTAATAGTTAATGAAAAGTCTAAAAAGAGTTTCTGTGCATTGAAAAGGATATCAACTGCGACATGGGGTCTATCGTTTGTAACAGTTATTTTTTTAGTATATTTGTATTGCGTACGGAGTTGTCAAAAGCGACATCTATTGCCCCCCCGTCGCATGTTGTTTGATTTATCCAAAGTAGTTTATAACTATAGTATTGATGTTCTTCGTTCGCCGTCGGACCACTAGATGGCGTTTGTTTTGTAGATAAGTCATTTTAGTAATTTATCATGACAAATTGTATAGGTATTAAAAGTGTTTTGTTATGGTAGGAAGCGAGTTACTTTTGATTTTATTCGTGTTGACCTCGTTGATAATTTAAATGTCAAATTAAAATGTTGAGTAGGGATTCTTTCTGGAAACTTCACAAACCGAACATATATAAGTCCGGCTTTCAGCCACGGGGGACACTCTGCTAACTCGTGTCTTCCAATCTTAAATAGTGTTTTGATTGTCTTGTGATTTTATTTTCGAAATATATTATCTGTTCAAAGTACCCACGAAAGTGGTGAGTATATTCTTAATTTTTCTTGTACCTATTTGTTTCTGGAACCTGATCGATAATATGAGTGCTAATCCATTCGTAGGGTCCCAGATTTCGGGTCAAGACGGTCAGTCTCAGACGGCGTGCTTGTTCGTTTGTGGCCTTCTGGTTCGAATTCAAGTTTCTCGGTAACCTCTGGCAAGCTGGCAGTCACGCGGCTCACAAAGCAAGCGGACAGCCGTACTCAAGGGTTACGTACTTCTCGTTAACTTTATTTATAACAATTATTAATACCAATAGTGAACTTTCCTCAATACCTAATATAAATAGCCGACTCGGGCGGAAGGGGAAGTGACCTCCTGGAGTGAAGACGAGGAGGCTCCGAGCACCATCAGCTCGGCTCTGACGCGCGCTGCTGCGGTTTTTCTTATACCCTCTAATTATTATTATTTTTTTATTGTAACTTAAAGTTTTTATTGAAATATACATGTATGTATGACTGAGGTGTAAGTTGTTTTCCTCTAAGGAATCCCGTAGGTTTCCCACACGCACACACTTCTGTTCTCATACAAGGCGCCCTGAGGTAATCTCGTAAATCTCTCCACTGGGTCAGCCGGTGAGTAGTCCGCCTGACAAGAAAAGCGGCTACACGTTTAATACATTAAAGATCATATACGGAGCTACATATTTAGGTTCTTTGTGCTATGGTGCACCTGTATGGGCCGATAGGGCGACCGTAGGCGCTGTCCGTCGCAAACTGTTACAAGGCCAACGACTTGCACTGATATTCTTGTGCAAGGCATATAGGACCGTTAGCACTGAGGCTTTGCCGGTGTTGGCGGGTGTGCTTCCTTTCAGAGACGTGCAGCCATGTACTATTCAAGACAACAAAACATGGGATGCGATTTTGCGAAGCGCGGGATCGCGGTAAAATTACAAGATTGCTTCAACAGCAGTCCGATGTCTATAGCGACCTCATAGACTATTGGCAACAACGCTGGGATGAATCATCCAAATGGGCGCCATCTTTACCAATTCTTTCCATCTGTTCGTGAACGGTTGTCGAGGACATGGCTTGAGGTGGATCACTGTGTCGCTCAATTTCTTCCGGGTCATGGTAACTTTAAGAGCAAGCTTTATTCATTTAAATTAGTCGAGTCACCATTGTGTCAATGCTCAACACCTAACTCTCACTATGAACAGTCTGCTCATCATATCCTCTGGGAATGTAGTGTTTGGTATAATGAACGTAATATAATGCTGAATAGCTTGCAGGTGACATCTGGGGCGGTATACTATGGGGATATTGTGTCAACTAGGGTGAATTGCCGTGCGTTTAGTAGGCGATTCTGCCATACATATTATAGAAATAAAATATAGCTCACGTAGGACCCGTAATATTTTGTGGCCGTGGTGCTTCCCTGTTTAAAAGGCTGTATGCCCATTTTAATTCATTTTGTCTCCCGCTGTGCTACGGAGGGAAGTGGATTTACTGTATTTCCAACTCCTCCAATTTTCTTCTGATTAATTTCGTTGCGGGTTCCAAGACAGTTTAATGTCTTCCTGTGACTTTCCGAGTGTCATAACTCGGTGTGTTAGTGTGTCAATGCTGTGGATCCAGGTGTACAGGAGTATTAGTGGAGGGCGTGTGGGTGGGATTAGTCCCAACTGCTGTTATTAAGACATCCGGACCCCTCCTAGCCCTGCCCGCAATGAAACGGGCACCACCTTCGGGTATAATCTCTATTTGGGAGACGTCCAGCACACGCGGACGTCGCCTCCTCGTGGCGAATTGGGTCCGAGTAGAGATTATCCGCCTCCTTCCGCGAGATAACGTCTTCGCAGAAGGATGCAACCGCGGTAAAACAACTATCACTAACGGCCATGGAGCGTATGACGGCCGGTAGTGAGAGATCTCCCCCGATGACTGCAGTGAGGACCCGACGCTGCGACGCTCAAGCTGGGCAAATTGTCAGCGTGTGCTGAGCCGAGTCCTCACCGCTGACTAAGGGAGCAACCTACGCAGGACAACAGCACTGCAAAGAGAAGGAAAACTTGACACAAACCCTATACCAACCCGTCTAGCCAGCGTGGTATAGTAGGCCAAAACCTCCCTTCTAAGAAGAGGCCTATATCCAGCAGTGGACTGTAAAGGCTGTTGATGTGTGATGTTATGAAACATTGTTTCCGTAAGCTGGCATGGCTTTTCCAATCCAAAAAAATCGACATTGTCCAAACTAGTCGAATATATTTCTTACCTATCCACTGAATTATATATAGGTAGGAAAGCGAAAATCTTGATAATGATACTTTATATGTTCTGTACGTTCATGGTGATTACATTGAACTAACTGTAACTAATATTAGTTCTTAACAAAACAGAAAAAACATCGATTGCTGATTTTCTAGGGTGAAATATCGGTTCACTAAATCGTTTCACTACTACACTTCGAATATAAAGAATGATTTTTTGGACCCGTGATTTCGATAAGCGATCCTAAATCGACATTCCTATTCCTCCCTACCTTTAATAATAATTTGACTGTTGCTATACTACATAGCTACATAGTACACCACTACACTACTACACACAGTACTTAGGGGTATATATGTTCTGTGTCTACTACACACTAGAATACACACGACTGACACGACTCACTTAATTTTGTTTACAAGTTACATACAATATTTACTTGTAATATTTACATGAATAATAACTGAATGTAATGGAAGCTTCAAAGTTACAGAAGAAGAAAAATACTATCAGTAAAGGTAAATTAAAAAAAAACATAAAAAACGTAATATGCCGCCCTGACCAAGTGTTTTGGTAAGTATATCTTGGATTTTGAGTATAAATTTATTTTCTTGAGTGTTCTACATTAGATACTTCATATTTTTTAGGCCTGAAATAATGGAGGACAATAGGTTAAGGTTAGAAAATATCTTAAATAAATATAAAGTAAAAATACCAGAATTCAAGAAACCACATTGGAAAGAACTCATGTTAATACCCAAAGAAAATCGACCGAAACCTCCAAAAATCAAGTAAGATATATGTGATGATCTCTTAGATTATTGTAATTAAAATTAAAAAAATGGAGTAAATTAAAATGCTATACTAAGGGTCTCAGAGTGAATCTGTCAGCATGAAATGATATTCCCAAATTTATTGAAGGTTTGTGCAATGGGTTTTCTTCCATTCTCCTTGATCACACCTTTGTTGATGCACTCCTTCACTTCATATAGAAATGGTTTCAACCTTTTCTTTTATGGCCAGCTGCCTGCCTGATGCCAGCTCTCCTTGGGAATGTAATACTTCTTTGTACATATATTTATTCACTTACAAAGTTTTTAGTTATCTGTTTCATTTATCCGCAATTACTATATTATCATTGTGATGTATGTTTGTTAAGTTAAGCAATGTTAGTATATTTCAACTAAGCATCTTTATATGTTAGTATATTTCAAGTTTTTTCTATCTTTCCTTAACTTGGATTTTGTATTCGGAACACTTTGGATTGGGCTACATGTGAATTTGTTAAAACCCACATACTTTGTAACCATTTTCTCATGATTTAGGGGCAAAAAAGGAGACAACTTACTTGACATAGACTACTGCTACCCATGGAGTCCTGCTATTCTAGAGTCACAAGCGAGTTATTACCAGCCTTTGAGCACCCCTACCAGTGTTAAGAAGGTTAATCTTCCAGGTATCTCACTCAATCCATGAAATAAAATAAAAGAATTGTTTTACTTAGGTTTTCTGTAGGCCATGGTATGATTTGAGCCTGCCTATGCACCAAAGCGTGGCTTCTCCTTTGAGTATATCTACATTTATCAGTCTATATTTGATGATAGTTTGTGGGATTTTTTTATTATTATTATATTTAATAAGGCTGATGTGTGCAAATCATTACACTTGTGTTCTTAAATGTTTATCAAGTCACTTATCACAGTTTCCGGCAAAGGGTTCCACATATGCACCACAAAATTATTTCTAGGATTGCTCAGAGACTGATGCTTGCTAAGCTTCATAGAGAGACCTCTTAGTTGTGTGTTTGGGTTCATTGTGAACATGGATTCAATACCTCTCATGTTGTAATGGTGGTTGAGTATTTTGTAGGTTTGCATATGGTCTCCTCACATTCTTCTCTGTTCCAGTGTTGGCAAGTTGAGTTCCAAAAGGTTTACTTTGTACGACATTTTTTAAAGTGAAAACCATTTTAGTTGCCTTTCTTTGTATCCTTTCTAACATTTGAATGTCTTTTTTGAAATATGGATTCCATTTTAGGAAGAATGATGACGATGCTTGTACAGACCCTTATTGTCCCCATCTTGGATTATGTATGCTATTACCAACCATAATGCAGATCTACTCATTAAATATGACCGCCTTCTGAATAACTATGTTCGATTCGAATTCAACCTTCGCAAATATGACCATAAATACAACCCATACTTGTGCATAAAGTATTAAAATAAATATTAGGAAAGCAAATTCTAGCAGAGGTATTACATATGTATGTTAAGTAGATGTTTAGAAACAACACCTTTGTGATGACATAGAATGCTTTTCTAATCTTGTACCTAAGTTCACCTTTATTGTTATTATTGTGCTTTGCTTCATCCTGGTAACTCAGAGGTCCTTTAGGGAGTTTTCTGCTGTCAATGGCACAGTATCAATTGTGTACTTGTATTTGGGGTTAATAATACCTATATGCAGAACAGTACACTTAGTCTCATTGAGTGAAATCAACCATTCTCTTGTCCACTGCACAATACTGTCCAGGTCTTTCTGAATTATGCTGAGAAATTAGAGGGGTTTACCACATTCCTGGTCGAACGTGGCTCCTGGCCCTAGATGACGTTTCCGAAATTGTGGAAGTCGAGGAAACTGGTCCTCATCCGAAAGAGGGGGCACCCGGTGGACTCACCATCTGCCTACTGGCCCGTTTCCCTAATTTTGGTATTGTCTGCCAATACTGTCAAATTTGAGGGAAACACATTTTTTTCAAATTCTTCCAACAACACAAACAAGACCAATCTGAGCACTGAGCCCTGAGAATGCTCTACCTGTTGTGTTAAATATCTGTACATGTAGTTTTGGTGAACTCTGTTATAGATATATTTTTGCTTTCTCTTTAAGTCTGCCGAATTACTAAACATATTATTGTAAAATGCAGTGCCTATTTGTTTATAACCTTTTGCATGCCATAGTCAGAAATATCATCATCAGCCTATCGCAGTCCACTGCTCTGGACATAGGCCTCTCCCATTGCACATCACTTAGATCGATTTTGGGCTTCTCCCATCCAGCTCCTGCTAGAAATGTAAAAACAAATATGATGCGTCAGTAATATGATAACAATAAATTAACGTTTTCTTCCAAGTAGTAAACAAAATGATGATGTCCTCATCAACAGCAACCTTATGGACAACCTTATGGCATGTGCCAGTGGAAACCAAGCTATGTGACAAATATGTCACAAAGTAGCACAATAAAGTTGACATCTTTTATTTTGAGTGTAGTAATTGATAGATTTTGTTTTACTTGTTTTAAATATTTAGTTTCATGTCAAGGTCTTTCTAGATTCAAGTTCTTAAGTAATCAAGTATTTATTTATGTTGCATCATATTTTTGTAAAAATCAATATGATCTCGAAATATTTATAACTAATATACCTATATATTTTCAGAAAAGTGGATGGTCTGTTATTTGGTATAACTGAGTGCAGCCATGCTATTGATAAATACCAATGTTCAGCTATTATACTTGAATCAGCAGTCAATCCAAGGATAATTGTGGAACCAATTTTAGAAAAATGCACACTTAGAGAAATACCTGTACTGTGCATGAGAGATTTAAGGAAACTTACTTTACTTAACTTTGGTGTGAAAACTAGCTGCTTAGGGTTAAGAAATGAATGTTTGCTTGATGTTTATAATGAAATAATAACCATGTATACTAGACTCAAACCAACTGACAACAAAGAAATTGATAGATATGCAAAAATGCATATTAAGAGGATAGTCAGTAAGAAATAAACTAATAATAATGGTACAGTTGCTTTATTTGTAAAATATTATTTCCTATAATGTCAAAAAAGACATGATCATATTAAGCATTCCACAAGGAATGTGCTCTATACAGTAATCAGAAATGTTTGGGATATCTTTCTAACATACATCTTTAAAAAAGAGCTATCCCTTTACACTTCATGTTACCAACTACCAAACTTTGCCCTCAGTTTTGATTACAACAAACTCATTGAGGTAAAATTTGATACACTAATTATTACACTAAATATAAATCATGATATACTCCATAAAATGTTTCTACAAATATAACAACAGTCATCCTATGAAGTATAACATGACAGTAGATATATGTATCTTACATTTTCAATTTATGCATTGCATTAAGTTTTTAAACAGTTCAATTTAATAAAATCAAACAACAGATTGGTTCAATGTTACATCTACAATAACGACATTAGTCAAATATAGCTGGCCATTGCTTACATCTAAACACAAAGTGAACTAACTTAGTAATAAAACAACAATATGACAAGGTTGATTCACAACACTAGTTTAGGTGTATATATTTGTATATAAACAAAATAACTATAAACCATGGTGTTACCTTTTACTTATACAATTTATTGATATACATAAAATCATTTCATGTATATTACTTTAAAATACAAAATCATAACATTAACATTTGCAATATTAATAATGTTTAAACTAAAATAAAAAATTTAATTGATACATGGTACCAATAATGATTTTTATATATGATCACATTTAACTATCATAATATAACTAGTTGTCTTAATTTCCTCTTAATATTACATGCAAAAACTTAATAATACACATTTTAATAAACTATGAAATATCCGGATTACTCCCAGTAGTTCCATGAAGCATGGTACTGATGTTACTGACTTAAAAGGCGATTTTTGTTTTGGTTTCATATAATTTAATACTACTTTTACAGCTGACATTAATTAAATTAAAAATAACAAAAGGAAGTCAGGGAAAACGAATGAAGGTTAGAAAAATAAATGGCTATCTACACATGCTATAATGTATCCATGTATGGAACTAGTGGGTCGCAAAAGTTCCTCGTGGAACTGGATATATGGAACTACTGGGAATAAACCAAGTATCCTCTAGAGGCTGTAATGCTGCATATAATCAAGCCATCGATGCCATGTAATCAACTCACTGTGAGTAAACTGTAATAGTAAATATAAATATGTATTTGTACATCTCTATAAACTATTTATATTGTATAAAATATAGCATACGCTTCTTAGAAGCATATGACAAAATCGTTGACAATTTACAGTATAAATTAAGTGTGTATTTAGCGGTCGTCACGAGGGAAGGCTTTTCTGTCATCACCAGTGCGATCTGCATACATACGACATATAACAATCTACCATGTCAGAAGTTTAACATCTACCGGTCCGATTTTTTAAGTCAAAAATCGGCAGTGAAGTGGAAAACGGTTAACCGCGTCAGCGCGGCACGCGCGCCTCACTGGGGCGGTAGCGCGCCAGGATGATCGCGCACATCGTCTGCGCGTCCGTCTCCTCCGGGTACGCCGCCATGGCCTCAGCTACCTGCGCCTCGGGGAAAATGCCCGCCAGGTGGTAGTGCATGCGGCGCCGCGCGTCCCAGTGCTGCAGAGCGCCGTCCGACGTGCAGGGCGACAGCTGCAGGCGCGCGCCGGCCGCCGCCGCCGCGCCGCCCGGCGCGCTGGCCACGCGCGCCGCCATGGCGTGCAGCCTCGGGTCGCACGCCGGGTTGAGGGTCAGCTGTCGGGCCAGCTTACGATGAGGATTGACTTCTGGCGGCGTGAGTGACGGTTGCGATGGACCGGCGACTTGCAGCTGAGCGCGGTCGAAGTGCGACGCGAGGGTCGCGTCGGCGAGTCTCGGCGCAGCGGAATGGGCTCGCGTCAACGGCTTCTTGACGTCTGACGGCCGGCCGCCTGGCGGCAGGCTGACGGTGTGCAAGTCGCGGGCGCGAAGAGTTCGCGCGGCGCGCTCTGATAGTTTCTCAGCGACGGATTTGTGGGGGCGACCGGCTCGTTCCGGGTGATGGAATTTGCACTTGTTACCGTAAGTGCACTTCCTACCGTACGGACACGCGGGCGGTGGGTCCGTCCGTGAAGCCGGTGCTCTAAGGAATGCGTCGAGTGTCGGGCCGGACCGACCGAGAGGGTCGTCAGGCGGCATGAACCGGTCGTTCACGAAAGAGTACATGAGCAGTCTTTCTTCGACTACCTTCCGAAAGTCAGGGTTCTCGATGGCTAGATCGCGGTAGTTGTCGTTAGAAACGACTATCCCGTCGGTCTCAGCGGCGAGGCGTAGGATGTACCTATCGTCGTAACATACGAGCCGTTTGCCGCCGAGCAGGCGGCTCGGCGTGTATACAAGCACACGGTCACGCTCGAGTCGTTCGAGCGCGTCGCGGTCCGCGATCGGGTTGGTGGGTCGCGACGCCTCCTTTCGCCATTTAGGAACGAACGCTGTGATCTCTTTGTGCCCGCGAGCGCGGAACCATTCTACACAGATTTCGATACCGCGACAAGAAAATACCTCCTTATTACCATGGCTGAAACAAAACGGAAAAAACAATTCGTAATTATACCTTGTATTTTTACGGGTCATATTAATAACATTATTTTACTTGCAGGAGCAAACTACGCACAACAACAACAACTTGCAGCACTGCAAAAAGAGAAGGGAAACTTGAAACAAACCGTATACCAATCCGTCTGGCCAGCGAGATATATTAGGCCAAGGAGAGGCCCATGTTCAGCAGAGCACTGTTAAAGGCTGTTGATGATGGGACATTATTAACTGAATCTTACAATCTTTTTTTTTTGCTTCCTATATTTAAAGGAGTGGATAGTGTATATAATAATGTTATACATTGGGACATATGTTCGTTAGTAGAAGATTGTACATAACTAAGGCAAGTACCTAATTCTTGTGAATAGGTAAAGAATTGACGCTTCCGTCTATCTCCCAATCTATTTATGCTCAAGTTTGCAGCTTTATATATTATAATACATGAAGGACGTACCTCATAGCAACATTACTGCCATCTATGACGATGTGTCGAAGTGGCGCTCTGTCTGGTGGCGGATCGGGCTCGGCAGGTGGTGGTGGTGACAATGCCCGAGGAGGCTGCTTTGCTGCAAGTTTTATTAATTCGGCCAACAGCTCGTTACAAGGTGGGTCTGGCCCTAGCCGTTGCAATGCAGTTCTAGCCAGGCGTTCAGAGTAGCCTAATTTTACAGCAAACTCGATTTTGGCCTATGGATAAAAACATGAATGTCCATTAATTTAATAGAAATATGCACAATATCATTAGTTCATTATCACATATTTATATAAATATATATCGAATAGATTGATAATGGGTATAAAAATGAATATTATTTAGTGTGCTAACTACTGGGGTAACTATAAAATGAAAACGCTATAATAGTTTAAAACGAACCGTGATTTGCTAAAAAAATATGAAATGGAAACACTTTCGCTGTAGTACAAGAAAGTTTGATCCTGTCTGTTAGAGACGTACATATAAAGGCTATTTTTGGAAATCTGCTATAGTTAAATTAATATCAAACACTGCCACACCTGAAGCCAGTATACTTAGAGATAACTGGAAAGACATATAACAATATAAATTTATCATCATCAATAACCTTTAGTAGTCCACTGCTGAACATAGGTCTCTTCTTAGAAAGGAGATTTTGGCCTACTATACCACGCTGCCCAGACGGGTAGGTATAGGGTTTGGGTCAAGTTTTAGTGGTTTTTCCTGCGTAGTTTGCTCCCTGAGTTGGCTCTTACGACACCCACTGTATGAATAGGTGTGGTGACACTCCGTATTCTTAATCCGTCACCAAATTAATAAATTATATTATGTATAGTTACGTGACAAGCTATTCGTAAAGGGATTTTAGGATACGAATCTTACCTGATTAGGTTGCGCAGGAGTAGGTGTGAGAGTAACGTATTCCGCGAACTCAGCAGCGAGTGTATCTGAAGGCGTCCTAGAAGCTGCTCTGTGAGCGCCTTCGTCTTCGCACTCCGAGTCATAGCTGGAATCCTCGCCGCGCTCGCCTGCCCACCCCAATGATGACTCCACATATTTCTGAAACAACAATCAAAACACTTAGCCCTTCTTTTTCTCCACACGCCGAAAGAAAAGATTTGAAGGTTCTACGTTATATATAATAATTTTGATAACTACTCAGTTTAAAAATAAAAACACTTGCATTCAGGCAGCTTATACAATTAACATTGACATAACACTAAATAACTATCTGCTTATCACATAAATAAGTAGGTAACAAACTTCTTGCACTCGACGTGCCAACTGCATAAACGACTGTGCATCCGGGAAGCTTATCAATTAGATCTAAACCCAATTTAAATTATCCTAACTAAATTTTTTAAATTCGGCAACATTATACTCGTTCGTTAAATGCTTATAAAACATGCAACCCTTAGACAAGCAAATCTGTTTAAAAATAACAAGTTATGTTAATATCCTTTCAAATATATGACTTGTATTGAAGTCGGAATCAACTAGAATTATCTGCAGATTATTTTTGCATTGACATTGGTAACACTGGACAAGTAAAAGCTTTTGTCAGATTTTATGCATAATCGATCGCGACTTCGCCAACTTTCAAGTGCAAATTGCTAATAAAAACATTCAGATACATTTAGCAGTCTAGTTATCACGATGATTTCACATTACACACATAATATAAGAGAGCTAAGACACACTTTATTGTTTGTAAATCACGTCTTGATCGCTAAATAAAACTAAATGAATTTTTAACACTTTGCACCTGGAACTTTGCGAAACGCGAAACGTATATTTGTCAGTTTATCACATGAATGGGTTTTAGATATTGTGTTAATTATTTTCAATACACAGGCGCATCTAAAAGAGAACACACATTTTCAAAGTAACAAGAAACTGTCAATTGTTATGCAATTTGCTTAAGAGTGTATGTGGTTCTAACCTACGTGTTTGAGACATCTCAGTTACCACACTGGTGATTAGCTAAAAACAACTCCAGATTAAATAATACAACCTCAAGTATGCTAACGTGTTACAGAGCCTTAACATGGGATATAACTATACTATAATTCTGATGTGTGAAGTGATGGTTATTGATTAATAAGCAAATTTTATAAAACCGCGGCCGACACGGGCACAGCACAGGGTCATGAGGGCGTCGAAGCGGATCTACAGATGATCATTGACCTTTAAAATACGCAACGTTGGCCGTACCGGTTGTAACTCATTATTCTCGAATTGATAAACTATTTCTTATTCAAAATACAGGAGTTGCTGTATAAGGAAAGCTAGGGATCGCTCACAGTTATAATGATGCATGGTATTAATAACAAATTCGGATCTCCTTATTCTAGTAATTAGACAGTTGGAATCATTTAAAATTAAGCTGAATACTATACTAAAAACCCTTGAGTTTAATAGAAACCATTGGTCTTCATTACTGTCAATTTATTGTTTGTCTTAGAATACGTATAGTGGTATCGGCCTGAAAGCTATTGATTTTTGTCATCTCGTTTCTGAATCTAGGTATGTAATAACATCATTTCCAAAAAATACAAATCAAGAGCTAAATGTACAAGAATTCATCGTTAGGTGCGGCATACTAAAAGTCTCTGGATTTGGCCACTTACAATAAAATAATGAAAAACAATTAAGGAACTTCGAAAATAGAAAATTTTCTTTGGGAATATGTTACCTTTTAATTTGCAAGACTGTCATTTGTTTTTCCATTGTGACGCCCTTCGAAAATTGTGTGTCGCTATCTAAATGAATTTAACTCGTCAACATTTTCGTTCATGTTTTCGTCACGTTTCGTTATGATTTTCGTTGTGGCTTAACTGAACAAGAAAGTTCCCAGATACTTCAATTGGCATTTGGTGATGAAGTACCATGTCTCAGCTGTGTATTCGTAGTTTGGAGAATTTAGACGTAGACGTGATCATCTCTACGACGAGGGTACGTGAAGGTCGGCCGGCGACTGCGGTTACATACTCTAATATTGACACCGCACGACAACTTATTGAAACTGATAAAAAAATCACTTGCCAGCAAATTCGTGCTTTGTTAGGCATTGGAATAAGCCAAGTACGGTTAACAGAGGACAGTCATTGTAACAGGTGACGTAACTTGGGTGCACTGCTTTGAACCCAAAAGAAAAAGCCAGTCGGCAGAGTGGGTCTTTTCTTTTGAAGATTTGACGACGAAAGTTAAGAAAATTCGAAGCATTGGTAAAAAAATCGTTGTTTCTTCTTTAGGCAAATCAGGACATTACACTACAGTATCGCTTGAAGATCAAAGAACAATAACTGCAGATTGGCAGGTCAACACTTGCTTAGGCAGTCTTAGAAAAAGTTCGCGAAAAGTGTCCTCGAAGCAATGTCCTCCCTTCACCACGATAACGCATCCTCACATTCCGCTAAGGTAACAGAAGCCTTTTTGTAAACTTCAAATTTGGAACTGATGATACATCCGCCTTACAGCCTGGACCTCGCACCCTGCGACTTCTTTTTGTTCCAAAAATTAAAGCCAAACTTAGAGGCATGATGATTAAATGGCCCGGATAGACGAGGTTGATCGCCCTCATCACCACCAAGCATCAATGATATTTTAATTTTACTTAAGTCGGCAAAATAGCTGTAGTACTTCTTTTCCTTATTTGCTGCATTACAAGTTTTAATTATAATTACCGAACTTAGTACCGAATACCCTATACGAGTACAATACGATAAGATACGTAAAATCTGTTGGAATGGAAATTTCCTTTCCATTACGTCACCTAGAGTAGGAAATTAAGAAACATCAAAAATAAATTTAGAAACCTTTAAAAAAGCATAATCAAAACTTCCTAGTAGTTGGGCTACAAAATAGAGGGTCCATAAAAGCTTATGTCTCGATTACTTACCGTTAGAAGATTTACTAATAATCTACAAAATGGCGGTTAGTCATGCCCAAGATCCGCGTTGAGACCTAGTTGGCTCAGAAACTAAAATGCAGATCTAGATTTCTATTTTGATTATAAAGTGTACGGTACCAAGTAAATAAATTACTAAGTATCAAATAGTCAGTAATAAACGACAGTATTACCAGTAAAGACGGAAAACTTGACACAAACCCTATACCAACCCGCCTGGCCAGCGTGGTATAGTAGGCCAAAACCTTCTTTCTAAGGAGAGGCCTATGTCCAGCAGTGGACTATTAAAGGCTGTTGATGTGATGATGTGATTACCAGTAAGCTAATGATAAAATCTGAAATTTAAACTAGCTAAAAATGAATTTCCGAAAGTGTTCCTGTTAGACATTAGTCTCCTAAAGGTAAACTTGTAATAAGAAAATGTTTAGTAGGTCTGCTGAGCCTACATCCGGGCTTGGCACAGTACGGAAACGCCCCGCCTACAACACTCAGCCGGATGCGACTTTCTAAAAAATCGAGTCGAACAGTCGTCTATTAGAGAATGATATTGAATAGCAACAGGTAAGAGCAATAATGATTCTTTAAGTACGGTTCTTTTAGAATAACTTTTCTTTATCTTCTTCCTTTATTCTCTATTCATCTAGAAGACGACTCTTTGATTTGTGCGGGCAGAGGACTGTGTAATTTTGGGTCACTCGTATATGAAATCCTTGGTTACGGTATTTAGGTGATTTTATTTGTCTTGACAGAGAGAGCACACGCATTAACACACACAACCACGAATTATTCTCAACTACAATTTTGCCACTTTAACAAACAAAACAATTTGTTTATGATAGCCATAAACAGATCCATTAATTTAATTTTAAATATCTAAGAAAGAAATAATATATGGTCGATACTTTTACAGAATTCTAATTCTAGTCAGAGGCGGTTGCTATTGTGTGTTAACCAAATGTGTGAGATTGTCGCTATTCCTCGTCACATAGACGCCTGTTATCTACTGTAAAACATTAACACATCCAAACGTTGATTCCAACGTCCACAATAGTGTTACGTCAAACATCATACGATTTACGCATTCGGGGTCAATCATTATGACTATTGTGTAGATATTTTAATCAACAAACTTCTTTATAAAATTCTATATATTTCTTCATGTTTTTTAAGTTATTTGTATCATTGCACTACTAATTATTTTTGTTACTGTTAGTGGTATAGCATAATATAGCATTACTACTTATATAGATATGCAGTAGTTGCAAATATAGAGTTAAATGTTTCTCCATTAACCATGTGCTTATCTTTTACCATAATATGAAATAAGAACTTTAACAGAGAATGTATCGTATTTGTAGGGGATTCAAGTCATTTATTATCTTGATTGTTGTCACGTCTAATTTCCTTGTAACAAGTAGCAACTATTGGGCACGACAAAAAAAACCCATAGGATTATCCCGCGTTAGCTACAGTTGTTACGTCGGAACATCTATTTGTTTACGTTTTTTGTCTTACAACCGGGAAGGAAACCCGCCAGTCTCCTTACGTGTGCGTCATCTGCTTTTTTTTATTATAACTATAAAATAATCATTTAGCAATTAACAAGTTCTAAATAGTTGTGGCCCACTTGGGCCTGGAGTTCCTCCAACTCTACCCAATTACATGCATGAAGTAAATTAATTGTATTAGTTTTTCTACGGCTGCCACAGTTCCTTGCATTTATTTACAGTTATTTTGCAACATTCTCTATGAAGTTTTACATATTTTATGACATAAGTACGAGATGATTGCCGAATAGTTAACTAAAACTTTTTAAACTCAAGTCAAATATATCTTTGAAAGGAAATGCCAAATCTTTTATTCATTTTTTGTGAAGTTTTCTTTAAGGTAGTAACGTCTTCTTACGTTTTAAATGATACATTAGAAACACTACATTAATTAAGTAACTGGTATTCAAGTGTTGACGTAACAGTCAGGATGACTGAGTCTTTTTATTTCGTTTCGCTGTTACATTTTGACATATGTTTTGATTTGTAATATTGCATCACTGTCCTCGAACACGTTTCGACCTCTTTGCTTGACTCTTTTGTTTTTGAACATATGATATGTCCTGTTTATTTGTGAACTTTGTCACATTATTGAACTATAT